TTGGGTCTTTGTTGCTGTCCCTCTCCGCAGCGTTCTCCCAGCTGCCTCCATAATTGTCCACAATTCTGAGCACTGCCAGTGCCTTCAGGACAAACTCAGACTCTCCACATGGCACCTAAGGCTCTAGTCCCTGCCAATTTCTATTTCCTCTTCTGCCTCTCCCACCTGAAACCCTCCTTCACCCGGAGTTTCCCCAGCCCCTGCCAGGAAACCCTTGTTCCCTTTCTCCTCCTGGTCTGTCTAGTCTTGCTTTTGCCCTCCTTAGGAAGTCTTCTCCGCTTGGGGGACCCTTCCCGGGGCTTCCTTCTCCCTTGGTGCTTATCACCCTCGACTGCAGTCAGGGCTGGGGACCCAGGCCACCGGAGGCACTGGTGCAGAGTGCAAGGTACTTTTAGGCTTTTAGGGGCTCCTGAAAATGTTTTATTTTAAAGTTAGATGAAAAAACATGTAAGAGTCAAAGAAAGTGTGCTTTTTTCTCAATCAAAAAAATAAATGCGTAGGGTCCATGAAAATATACTGAACTATTTAAAATTTTTTTAAAATAGAGGGAGATACTTCATGAAGACAAAAGCACCTAAGGCCTGAGAAAGTGAGAATGTGACCCTGATTGACTGCCATTGGTTTCCCCTTCCCCCAGTGGGGTTGGGGGGGTACCCCCCTGCATTATGTGATTGAGTCTCTGCACCCCCAGCCCCGTTCTCATCACTTAGGACTGCTTTCTGAACAAGAAAAGAAGTGCATAAATAAATGAATGGCCTTGCGCAAGGCTCTTGACTCTGTCTCGATTTCTTCATCCCGACAACGAAGTTCCAGCTTCACGGGGCCGCTGCGGGGTTCAAGTAGTGAGTGGGAAACTTTCAGAATTGCCGAGGGTGCAGCCATTCCTGAGGTGCAGAATGTGGGTGGGAAGGGGAGGGCGGAGGTTGTTGAAGGTGGCTCCAGGTGGCTTCGATACCTTTCTTTTGGTAAGAAAATTACCCTCTTTATACACGCAGAGCACTGGAACGACAGACACCAGAGTCTCACAGGGGCTGGCCCTCAGCATTGGTTCCCTGTGGGGCGAGCAACTAAACTAGAATAAAGCACGAGGGCTCTCGGTCCCGGAAGAACAGGCTTCTTTCATTTTAGGACATTAGGCTCTTTTAGCTTCTTTTCCTTTCTTTCCTTTTTTTTTTTTTTTTTTTTTTTTTAACCATACTACTTAGAAGAGTGTGAAGCCCAGGTCTCTGTCTCACTTCCCCTTTGTGTTCCCGGGCCTGGCACAGGTGAGGGGCATAATGAATTAAGGAATCTCCCATCTCAGGGTCCTGCGTGGCACCCATCAGCATCAGGGCCTCTGACCCCAAGTGGGTGAGAGTCAGTGCAACCCCTCCACCCCCGCCTGCCTGAGCGCAGGGCCTGCCGCGAAGAGAGCAGAGTTGTGAAACGGAGACTCAGTTTACCCAAGGTGGAGTCTCAAGCACGTCAACATGGGGGCTGAGGAAGCGATGGGACATTTCCGCGGCGACAGAGCCCAGAGGCACTTAAGAAATCTTAGTTTTTGTCCCCTCCTCAGAAACACATCGGGGACAGGTTTCCTGTGTTCCAAGTAATTTAATTGCCATGGCTCCCGAAAGGCTGGAGCGGTTTCCTTTTCAGAGGCTGTGGGTGCCTCTGAAAAGGAAAGTCACAGGCAGTATCAGTCTTGCCCATCTTCTTCGCTGCTGTGTGTCCAGCGTCTGAAAGCATGAGGGTACACAGTAGGCGGTGAGGAGCGGACAAACTGCCATCGGCGACCGCTGGGTACCTCCCCAGTGCAGGGAACAAAACCCGCCTCCAGACAAGAAGACCCTGCAGGCCTCCCGCACCCTGTAATTTGGATGTCCAGGAATCGCCTTTGTTGTGGGCGCCCAACCTCAGGCAAAGCGAGCACCTGCTCCTCCCGCCGGTCCTCGCAGGAGGACCCCAGGCTGCTGCGCTCCGGCTGCCTCTCACAGTCCCTGCGCTCCGCTTCTCGGGAGCTGGGAGCCCGGGGGCGCCCCGGGACCTGCAGCCAGGG